CTAAGGAATAAACCCCTAATTTAGTTATTTAATGCGGCCATTAAACGAAAGAGCATAATAAGAAATTTTCTGATATATATTCTCATATAATGTAGATAATTTAGTCTCTCTAAGTAGGCATATATATATAAACCATTATATTCATAATTGTTAATATAGTTATTAGTACGTAGCTAATATATAGTCTCTACACTAAGTGTTAAGTCACTAGTGTTTATGTCTTTAGCCATAGGATATCACGGACACAAATAATAAGGGTAAAAAGAAGGAATAGTATAACGTTAAGGGCGAAAATAACGATGAATAGTTAGTATAGTTACCGCGCTAAGTAAGGAAACTAATTCAACAGAATTAACATAATGCCGGTGCCCATTATGATTATGAACTAGCTTTAGCATTAAGTTATTAGCGCAAAACGGCTTAGTTTTAGTTCGTTATAATGGATATAAAATGGGATAACACATAATAGTATAAAATGCTTAATGAATTTCTGCTATTCTCTTTCTTTATCACTAGCTATATATAATGCCTGTCCATTAATATTGTCCCTACAGCCCTTTAGCTACTTAAGGATATATATTCTTAGCTCCCTAGGTTTTATCCCTATACTAGTTAGGTAATAGAAATAGTGTCTTTTATTTTATTATTATAAGTTCCTTAAATAGAGAGACCATATTATTATATTCTTAATATTACCTATACTTAACTTTATACGAGTTTAGTGGTTATAAGTACTATAATTATTAGTTATAGTGAGATAATATATAGTAAATAGCGAAGCACAGTATCTTTAGGAATGATTTCGGCATTTATTATATTTCTAATAATGTGATAATTATTAAAGAACTTATTATTTATTAAGGGGTTTAAGGGGATATCAGACTATATAGGTATTAAAGAGTGTATTAGGTTATACTAGGGCACTTCGTAATAATATAATTACGTAGCTAGAGGCCTTTAAAGAGTGTTAAGGTAATAATACTTTAACATAGTCTTTATAAGTCTTAGCACGTAAAATATTATAGATTTAAAGCGGTATAGTTACCTTTTAATCTGTTTAATATATATTTCTCTCTATATAATTACCTTATTTCTTTTAATACTAATCATTATGTTAGAAGTAGACAGAACAGAGAATAGATAATATCTTAAAACTTCACGCTAAGCGTACTTTACTAAGCACGTAACGCTAAGAGAACTTAGGTGAACTACATAATTACTGCAGGCTTCCCGCACAAGGAACTTCTCTTCCTTATGCTTTAAGTTCTATAACTAGAGTACCTAGATAGAAAGACCTATTTTTATTGTGTTATTACTTTATCTATTCTATAGGCCATTCCTAATAAACATAATTTTAAGTATTATATTATATAGAGTTTATGGCTAAAAAAGAGTGTTTAGAAACTATAAGATACTTTATATCATGAAATTTTCTGTTTTAAATAGATAGTAGCTCTTAACTATAGCTTAAGAAGTTAGAAAGACTACGAATCTTTTCTATATAAGAGTTAAGTAGAGTTAGCGTTCTTTTAAGGGCGCTCTTTAAGCATATATGTCCGAACCTAGCGAATGTATATATTTAAGTCTAACTACTATATATATTTAAGCCTAGCTAATATATAGCTTTCCCTTAGATATTAATGCTAAAGTTTATCCCCTAGAAGCCATATTTTTATAGATTTTATTTATTACTTATTATATAACTTCTTAACCCTTCTATAATAGCGAAAAGAATTTCTTAAAATTCCTAGGTCACTCCTTTAATATATATTAGAGTTAGTGATATCTTAACTTAAGTACTATAGTTATAAAATTATTAAATAAGAGTCTAAGTTAAATTATACTATTCTTTAATTTAAGTATTAATTAATTAAGAATATAGATTTTATAATATTATTATTAATGTGTAAGTTATTATATATATAGATTTATTACCTTAACAAATTTCGCTATCCTTCTAATTTCGCGCTTAGCTATTAAACTAAACTAAATCTTATCTCCTTTATAATGGCCTAAAAGATTACTTATTACTTCTTTTACCTTAGAAACCTTCTATTTATATCTTACTTATAGTTATAATATAGTATTTAACCTTATTAATATAAGCTACCTTAACTCCTAAAGATTAATATTTATATTAAAGTACTATATAATTTAATAATATATATAGTTTAATAACGCACTAAATCTAATTTAACTATCTTTAACTCACTTTTATATTAACTATAAGTTATAAATATTAACTATAAGTTATAAATATTAACTATATTAACTATTCTATTATAAATATTTAGAATCTATATAAAATAAATAAGAATACTTAATAATATACATTACTTTTTAAGGATAAAAAGCTAAGGAAAAGAGAGATATTATTATAAATAAATAAAATAGAGAATAAATAATATCTTAAAACTCTATACTAAGTATACTTACTAAGTATATAACTATTAAAAATAGCTTATAGAATAAATAGAGTAATAATATAATAAAAATAGATCTTTCTATCTAAGTACTTTAGTTATAAAAACTTAAAGTATAAGGAAAAGAAGTTCCTTATATGAGAAGCCTATAATAGTTATATAGTTTCCCTAAGTTCTCTTAGTGTTACGTGCTTAGTAGGTATACTTAGCGTAAAGTCTTAAGATATTATTTATTCTCTATTCTATTTACTCATAATAATAACACTAAAAGAACTTAAGAGAGCTATATAATTATTATATACTTTCTATAAAGGAACTTCTCTTCTTTATACTTTAAGTTTTATAATTAAAGTACTTAGATAAAAAGACTTATTATTATTATATTATTACTTTATTTAGTCTATAAACTATTCTTAATAAATATACTAGAAGTAAAGTAATTATAGCTAAAAATGTATAGGTATAATTATAAATTAAGTTAACTATATAGTAAAGCTATAAAGTAATTATATATATATATCTTAATATATCTTAATTTATCTTAGTAATTCTTAGTGTATAACGTATTAAGAGTTACTAATTTAGACTAATTTCACTAAGATCACTAGTTTAAATTATATAATAGCTATTCTTTCTTAGTAGGCTACCTTTATTTAATCTATTACTTTACTTTATAAATTATTATTATAGCTATATTCGCGGTTTACTTATAGGCTAATTCGTAACACTAATATCTTTCGCGTCTCTAAAGGGCCTTAAATCAGATAATTAAGCCTATTAAATATATATAAAGTCCTAATAAGATATAAAGTAAAAAGCTCTCTTTCCTAGTTATAGTTATTAATTAGTTAAGAGACTTCTACTTACTATATATTACTATATTATTTCGTTAATACTAGCGACCTAAACCTAAAGCTTAAATTAACTCCCTATAATTAGTAAGAAAAGAAATCCCATGTAAATTAATCTAATTAAGTCTTCTACTTAAGCTATAGAAGTAGACTATATAATGGGTAGAGTAACCTAAACCTAAAACCTAAAACCTAACCTTAATGGGTAGGGTAGAGTATAACTTTTTAATATATAGGTATCTATAGATAGGGTAAGACTTTTCTTATAGGTACCTAAAACCTTAATAGGTATCTATTTAAGAGAAATTTTAAATTATTACATAAATTATTACTATTTTTAGTAATGTTTTACTTTTTTATAGACTTTAGGGTATCTTAGCATTACCTAAACCCTACCCTAAACCCGCGTGAGTACCTATGGGTAGGGTACTTAATTTAAAAAAACCCTAATGGGTATATAGGTAGGGTAAGACTCTCTTAATAAGTTACCCTACCCTACCCATTACGCAGTCTACATAGAAGATAACACTAATAATAGTTCTCATAATAAAGACTTTACGATCTAGAGCCTTTCATTTCATGGTAATACCTATACTTCTAGACTAAGAGCATTAGTAACTAGTATAAACAAATTATACAGTTATTTACGATTATATTATGATGGCTTATCCTAGTGTTTATTCTAACGCATATTAGGTAGAATAATTACTTATGTCCGGCTAGGTTAGTGAATAGTCTCGCTCTAAGGTTCTCTTCGCCCTTTCTCTTTAAAATAATCCTTTAGTTAGTCTTTTAATAGTGACCCAGATTCTAAAGAAGGTGAATTCTGTTTCTCTGGTATGTTTCCACCAAGGTCTGGGTACAAAGTTGTTCAGTTTGCTAATCATTCAGTATTTCTCAGGTTCGAGGATTTTTCAAGACTTCAAAATCACAATATATCCTCGGAGGATTCACGGATAATCAGAGGAAACGTTCTTTCTTGAAAAGAGACTCAAGATATCGATTTCGTTCACGCTCTCGCTCTCCTTGGAGTCACCATCGATTGATAAATCATGGTTCTTATTCTCACTCTCCTCAAAAATCAGTAGAACCTCAAGCTGTCACATCAATGGTCTCTGAGCAATCACAACCAGTCACTCCCCAGCAGTCGCGACACAGAAGTACTATATGCTCTCAATGTGAGAGTAATCACTCAGGAGAGAAAAGCTCTCAGTCTCCTCGATACCAATCAAGGTCACAAGAGCGTCGTCGCCGTCGATCTTCCCCAGCTCGCACAGAGCCCCCTAAGCCTCCTGCATTCTGCAACTGGCACCGCTCGACCATGATGCCCGGAGGATCGGGCATCATGTGAGCACAGCCTTGAGCCTGCAGGGATCCATACTTTGGCCCTCGGGTTCCAGGTTCCGGACGTTTCAGATGCGCGGAATGGCCCGGTTCCGGTCTCTTCTGTGTTTGGTTATTCTTGCCAGGAGTTCTCCCAAAGGTCGCTTTTCAAGCTAAGCTACGAGTACGATTTGGATTAGGGCCACCCTTTGATCGGCTGGAGACATACCCGCTTCCTGCCCCCTGTGCATTACAATTCGGGGGCCACATGGAAAACACATGAATATTCATGCTCCTAATTTGCTTCCGAGTGCATGTAGCTATATTCAATACCCTCTTTGTAAAGGGTAGAGAAAAAGGTTGATCATCTCATTCCCCATTATGGCTAGCCACTGTGTCGAAGATGAGCTGTCCGATGACTACGTTCTCATCGGGAATCAGAACGCTGGAGAAAGCACAGGCGAGTTCTACCAGATCTTGCATGCTGTGCAGTCTTCCGCTGACATTCAGAGAAGTCTCGACGGAGACAATTGACAAACTGCGGGCATGGCTTTGTCCATCGGATTACAGCTCAGATTCTTGTGATCTCAAAAAGCATCTTGCAACGCGCACAGCTGGCACCTGTCAATGGCTACAAGAGAGGCAAGCTTTTCAAGATTGGTACAGTTCTCCGGTAAAAAGTCTTCTTTGGCTTGAAGGCATCCCAGGGAGTGGCAAGTCCGTCGTGACCTCGAGCGTAATCGAACAGCTCGTGGATAATGTCACCCCAGTCCTGTACTTCTTCATCCGCAGAACCATCGATTGCAACAAGAGCCCTGCTTCTCTGATTCGCGATTGGCTGAGCCAACTACTTTCATACTCACTTTCTCTTACAGGACAGCTGACGACGGAGATGACACATCATCCAAGTATTTCCACGTTGACATTTGATTCTTTGTGGCAGATCTTCATTTCCACTATATCCGGCATGAACAGAGTCTACTGTATCATCGATGGTCTAGATGAACTGGCGTCAGGCAATGAAGGGTTTTATGCGAGGATCATCGAGCTTGCTCACATCAAGCCCTCGGCCGTGAAAACCTTGGTAGCCACCCGGCAGCTTGCTGCAGCTGAACAGGTTCTCACAAAAGGCACATACACAAAGGTCAAGCTTAGTCGTCAGAATACGGAAGGGGATATAGCCACGTTCGTGAGATCCCGTCTTCACTCGTTCGACTTCTTCGATTTAGACGAAGAGGGTCGACGACAGTTAGGTGACATGATCTGCAGACTTAGCAATGGGCTCTTTCTTTACGCGAGGCTTGCAATCGATGAATTGTTGGTGAAGAGTCACGAGTTGGGAAGGGAATACCTGAAGTCCTCATTATCTGATTTACCAAAAGGAGTTGAAAATATGTATGCGTCCATTCTAAACGAGCACCGGCTGAGGACTGGAACATCGTTGGAACAACAGCTGACAATTCTTCGCTGGGTTACTCACGCAACGCGGCCTCTTCGACTAATAGAACTAGCCAACGTGCTGAACATCCCAAAGGGTGAATCAGCTGTACAGTCTTCTCAAGCCGAAGCCAAAGCCGAAGTTCGACGCTCTTGTGGACCGTTGTTGGAGGTTCTCCCCGACGAAACTGTACAAGTCATCCACTATTCTCTAACAGAATATCTCACCGACCAGAGGCGCGCGGCGGATGATCCGGGAGCGGATTTGACGTATCCTGTTATTGCCCAGGATCACGCACACTATGTCATTTCCACAGTATGTCTCCGGTATCTGTCGTTCAGCTGGTTCCTCACTCCTTGGGACGAGGAGTCAGACTACCACGATCTGGAGGACAATGATTCGCGTTTCGCAGGAGATGAGATCCGGTGGAAAAATGAGTGCAGAGAGAGATCCAGAGATTTCCCATTCCTGGACTATGCGGCAAACAATTGGGCGACGCACGTCCATGTATATGGGAAACGCGACAATGAGCTTTTCGCAGCGCTTGACTCTTTCCTGCTCATCAAACAACAACTACTCCGAAACTGGCTGAACTTCTTCTGGCTGGCCCGCCATGGGTGGAGTCGGGCTCCTCAAAACTTCAAAGCTTTACACGTTGCTGCCATCTTCGGGCTTACCTCGTACGCGGAGCACCTCCTGGGAATGGATGAATCTGCAGCCTCGGTTGAGACTACTGAAAACCGGAGCTGTTTGTCATACGCTGCAGAAATGGGTCATACAGCCACAGTCGCGCTTTTGTTGAAGCACTGTGACCCCAAGGCTCATAGCAGTTCTCGCCTTACCGCTTTAGATTATGCAGCCCAATGTGGGCATGTTTCGACGGTAAGACTACTTCTAAATGCAGCGATTGATCCTGTAGCTCCGGTTACGAAGTGTGATCGGCCTGGCTCATGGTGTTGCTCATACAAAAAAATCAAGGACAAACAATCTCTTCGTTTGGCTATTCAGAAAGGTGAAACTCGGGTTGTTCAGGCACTGCTAGACTATATGAGTCCCGACGACCTAAAGCAAACCGGTGTCGATCCCACTCCCCTTCATTGGGCCGCCAAATACGGACGTGCTGAGATCGCCGCTATTCTACTCGACAGGGGACGAATACCTGTTGACAGTAAGAATAAGCATGGACATACACCCCTTTACAAAGCTGCTAGCTGTGGATCTGCAGCAGTCGTGAGGGTTCTTTTGGGCCATGGTGCCGATTATGGACTCATGTTCAGGGCCAAACGCACCTGGAGCAAAGACCTACAACCGGAGATATCTCTCCTACACGCGTGTGCGGACAGACAGACATCCAACGACTCAAATCTTGCTCACACAGAGGACATAGTGCAGATCGCCTTGGAGTTGCTCAAGGCGGGGATCGATGTTAACATTCGTGATTCGACTGGCAAGACGCCGCTCCATAAAGCCTCTGCGGCCTTCGGACAGTCTCAAATGACCTGTCTATTGCTCCAGCATGGAGCAAACCCGTCTGCGTCCGACAATATGGGAAACGAGCCTCTACACAATTCAGCACCTCATGATATCCCAGTCCTTGTTGGAGCCGGCGCAGACCCCAATGCTCGGCGGAAGGACGGTAAAACTCCGCTTCTCGCGTTCCTGAGTGAGCTTTATGTGGATCACACTCAAGTTGTCAAGGCACTAATCGAGTCGGGAGCTGATGTCAATTTACAAGATAGGGAAGGCAACTCGGCATTAATGCTGAGCTTGAGAGAATGCTATAATCCAGTCTTCGACCTTCTTCTGGAGAGCGGAGCTGATCCAAACACCAAAAATAATCAAGGCAAGGGAATACTGCATGAAATCAATAAAGATGGTCCCCTTTTGGGAAGTCCGGCCGTGATGAGACTGTTGAAAGAGAGACGGATCGACATCAATGCTCAAGACAACAACGGAGAGACCGCCCTATTCCTCAGCACCCTTCGCGGCGAGCCCCAAAAACTTTCTATGCTCCTGGATGCTGGAGCCGATATTAATATACACGATTTCAGGGGAAGATCTCTTCTGCACGCGTCGGTTGGGTCCGTGCCAGGAATATTTCCAGATGTCAATCAATTTCACAATTGCAGGGAAAAAGTCTCCATGCTCAGACGATTTCTGGCCCTTGGTCTGGACCCTTCTGCAATTGACCTTCAAGGGAACACAGCACTGATAGAGCTGGCCAAAGCGGATTGGAATACATCGCCTTTGCCACTACACAAACAAGAAAATGGTTATCGTCTCGAAGCCATCGATATCTTGCTCTCATCTGGTGCCTCTCCGTTTCACAGAAATACCGATGGCCGGACATGCTTGCACCTCTGCGCATCGAATGTTGACCGCGTCTGGGCGAATGGACAATGCACGCCCAACATGGTTGGAAAGAATCTGCCAATACACGCATTTCTGAAACTTGGCTTCGATATTGAGGATAAGGACAAGAATGGAAATACGGCGCTCCACGCTGCTGCCTTCGTTAGTGGCACTTCAGGTCGTATTGGGGAATATCACGTCTCACCCCTCCTCGAGGCTGGGGCCGATCCGACATCAATAAACAACGATCTCAAGACACCGCTTCACCTTGCGGCAGAGGCGAGACAATGTAGTTCGGTTGAGATCTTGGCGAAGGCCATGAGAAGCAGTCAGAAACTGGATCATCAAGATTCTCTGGGGAAAACTGCTCTGCATTACGCTGCGTGTGCTGGAAGACTTGCCTCTGTTCGTAGTCTGCTTAGGGCGGGTGCAAGTCATTCTATTGAGGACGGTGAAGGGCAGACTCCGCTTCATGTGGCGGCAACTTATGCCAGTGACGACTATTCGGGCCTCGCACCGCTAGAGACTCGCCAGAATCACGATATAATCCTCGAGTTGTTGGCAGCAGGGGCGGGCGCTGATGACAAGGGCTACAAAGGCATGACACTAGAGGATATTCCCATTCAGTTGGCTTGCGAGCAAATCGACGAGAAGTTTGCACAGGCAAAGCCCGTCGGTCTCACTGGCATTAATAGGTCACACCATCCCCAAGACATCAATGAGACTGTCTTATGGAGGCTCGGGACTAAGTATCAGGTTCCCGCTGAGAGCATCGAAGCCATGATCCAAGGTAGAGATATCAGACGACTCACAGAGCTGTTATGCGATGCCTCCAGAAGATGGGATCATATTACGACGAACTCCTTGCTCTGCTTGAACCCTGAATTGCTGTTCAGTTGCCCTGAGAATCCGGATTATTCAATCAGCTGCGGGCCCCCTCTCCATATTATGGCACTTTCGGGTTGGGACCGGATGATGAGCAGGTATCTTTCGAACGATTCTCTGGACAAGGTCGGACAGTACAATCAAACGCTCTTGCACTATGCAGTCAGGTGCGAGACCAATAACCTCGACGTGCTGAAGCTCCTTGTCGAATATGGGTTAGATGTCAACACAAGGGCCGAACATCCGCCAGACCAACATTACGATTCCAGTTCAACGCCGGGACCCACAGCTCTTCACCATCTCGCAACCTCCAACTATTACTGGTGTGTCGAAGCTCTCGAGTACTTGGTGTCGGTTGGAGGAGACATCAGTATAGATAACGGATTCGAACAAGACTGCCTTCAGATCGCGATGCAACGCGGTGGCTTCTGGAAGCATGAGAAGGAGGCGATATGGCCATGGTCCAGACGCTGCTTGATCACGGGGTTGACCTGAACCAGGGCAGCAGAACTCCGCTTCACGCTGCTGTCCAGTATCGAAATATTGAAATGGTCACATTGCTCCTCGAGAAGGGCGCAAAAGTGGACTTCGACCCTGAGTCTGAGATCGAGTATGAACAATATCATCATTATGTGTCGATTCTGGCCACTTGCTGTGAAAGTAGCAGTATTTTCAACGCAAACGACGCAAATAAAGCGACGAAGATCCTCAATCTATTGGTGCTTGCTGGCGCTGACGTCAATGAGAAGGCCGACGATGGTTGCGCGTTGATGCACTGGCTTGCCGAGCGCAACGGTCTTCTGGGTTGCATAATTAAAGCTGGGGCGAGTATTGAGTGCCTAAACAATAAAGGTCAGAGCCCTCTACTTGTCGCGTGTGCCAGCAATCATAGTCAAGGGAGTCCACACTGCGGCTTCGACCATGCTGCGCTAGAACTGCTCAAAGTGGGAGCGAATGCCGCCATCATTGATCAGTCTGGCAAGAACGCTCTCCACCTCCTCCTGGAGAAGACAAACTCCAGGACAGAATCGGCAGAAGAGTCGAAGAGGGTCACGGAGGCGCTCCTTGCCGCTGGATGTTCTCCCTCGGTGTCAGACAACGAAGGATGGACGCCACTACACGCGGCTCTCAAGAACGGCAGATTTGCCCAAGCTGCTGTGCTCGTCGAAGCGGGAGCAGACATATTGGCCTCGGATCCAGGCAGAAACAGTGCCCTTCATCACACCGCGCGTTTCGCGAGCCGACATCCTTTCCGCCAAAGCCGCGATTGGAGCTCTGAAGATCCGGCGCCATTCATCACACGCTGGCTGCAGGCGGGCGTCGACATCAATGGCGCAAACAAGGCCGGTGCAACTCCCATATTTCTCGCCGTGGAAGGCGAGTTCGCCAACGAGACCTTGCAACTATACCTCGCCGCCGGCGCGGACATCACACACCGGGACAATGATGGCCAGGGGTTGCTGCACACCATCGCCAAGGGATCGAAGAGCCTGTGTCGGGACCTCCAGCAGGGGGTTTGTTACAACAGGTGCATTTGTTCAGAGGAGGACTCTGGGGGAATCTTCGAGGCCGCCAAGTTCAAGCTCCTGCTTGAAGCAGGGTTGGACCCCAGGCTTGAGGATCACCTGCAGCGCACGCCGTTGGATCTGGCCGCTGCGGGCGGGCTAACCAAGATTTTAGATTTGTTTGTGGAGTGAAGGATTCTTGTTGTCTCTCGATATCACCAGTCTACCACTTGACTCAGCGGTGAATCATGACCTCTCTATGGTCCATTTCCGTTTCCGAATCCCAGTATCTTCAGCTAAGGCTTAGCCGAAGCTGACTTAGATCACCTCGTTCCCGAGGCAAGCGGCAGACCACGGTCTCAATCGGGTACCAAGGACAGGTGTATGGTCGCCGCTGAATACCAAAATTACCGCTTCAGGTCTAGAACGGTTCAGCACCACTTCACACTTAAATATGATTTTTGTTTATCAGGAGTGTACGTCTTCAAAGTCGATGGGAATCGCTTCGTCAAAGACACAGTCCCTGGTCTCGATCACTCCTTACTATGTACAAGCTACAGTTCTGGGTCCGAGGAAGCTGAAAGGCTACATTTTGTTCTCTGACCGGGCCAGCGAGAAGCTAGTTGGTCGTGTCGTCAATCTGGCAAAATTATATTTATATTATTTTCACTTGGGAAGCCTCTTTTCTACATGCTCTCATCTCTAGCGATCTTGATTGGCTTCTATCAGATCGAAACTACCTTTTCATAGCGAAACGTCTTTTGGAGCTTCTTATGGAAACCTGATCTTTTCCATTTTTTACTTTTACAATATCCAGTGTGCCAATTTTGTATGCACAACAACGAGACTCTTCCAGCAAACACACAAAATCAACTTGCTCTTGCCATGAAAGATGCCCCAATGCTTCGTGTCGTCCATTATGAACTCAAGGTCGTAACTTGTTTTCTCTCACAGCGAGCATTACTCGTCGCTACCTTGAGCGTCCTCCAAATCAAGCTTAGCATTCAAAGGCTGATACACAAGTCTTCGTCTCGCTGAGACGCTCGTCATTGATATGGACACTTTTATTACGAAGAATGGCATCTGATGACTCAACAAATGCACAACAGCCTCGAAAACTCATGGCCAGTGTTTGGACCAGAGGTTGTCATTACGAACGAGGATGAAGAGCACAATCGTGGGTAATAACAAGCGAGACCGTATGTAGCACGACCGTGTCTGTGTAGAGACTCATCAATCCCTTGAATATTTGACTCCCATACCCTTGTTCGAAACGACAGGCCAATTTCACCACACAAAAGACCTCAGATTATCCTTACCGACGACCTCAGCGCTGTGCTGCTGAAATGTCCCCGTCGAATACTTGGCGCTGAGGTCGTCGGTAAGAAATACCCTAGGATTCTGTGTGACGAGCATCGTGCTGCTGAGCAGGGGGGTATTGAAAGTCTATGATCCACCTGAATGATGACCTTGGCCGAATAAGGAAGTCATAAACTGAGAAAGCTTAAGGACAAGGGCATTGTGTTTGTCTTTTGCTTTTCTCATTGCCAAAGGGTCTTGATGCAGGGTACAACTCGTGGCCCTCAAACGGTTGAGCAATTTGTGTCCAACCGCAGGTAATTGATGCCGACCTGATCAATCATCTACTGCGCTGTTTCCGCTCGTGAAATTGGGTGGTGGACATAGCGCATGTGTTCCTCTTCAAGAAGGTCTTCTGGTGAAAGCCACCTCATTCAAAACCCCCGTGCTGCTATGGGGTTCGCCTATGCCTTTTAGTGAAGGAGACTCTTGGTGGCGGTTTCCAAGAGAAAGACGTTGATAGAATCTAGTCTGAATACAGGCTAGTGAACCAGCCTTTCGACATCAATCCCGGACGCGAACCACTAGCGATGATCCTTGCTGTTATTGCGCAAAAAGTGATGCACGGGCAACAGATCTACGTACAAGAGGGTCCCGTCCCGGAGGGGTGGCTGCCACTAATAACCTTGACCGGAGTAAAATGTGGCAAAAACTTTTCAAAGTATCCGTACAGCGTATCCATACGGCGTATCTCGTACACTAATGGAACTCGCCGGGGCGTCGGACCCTCCTGACACCGGCAAACGACCTCGCTTCCAGAATCCAATGGGGTCACGGGAAAAGTCCCGGCAGTTCTCAGCTCTTGTAGGGATTCAAGCTGGAAAAGGGGTTGTTTCTGCACTTGAGAAAAAGGCTAGACAGGCAGGGCATGCATACATCCACGCTCTTCACCCAGAAAGAAGACACGAGAACAAGCAAAGATAGCTGGGCAAGCGAGGTCTTTGTCGTCTCAACTGTGTTTTCTGCGGACCAACTACGCGCACCAGATCCTCGCGCCAAGACCTCAAGCTCTCCACTTTTATCTCACCTGGCTAATTCCAAACGAGCGACATCTGTGATCTACTGGAAAATCGGGTTAGCGAGTGGCCAAAGCTGATACCTGGCGAGCTGGAAACTATAATTACATGTCCCCTCAAGGTTGGGCACCCTTACCACCTTTACGTACTCTCTGCGCCGAACCGCCGACTGCGGAGAGGACTCGTTCTCACCGATAACCTTCGTGTTGTACATCCCAGTTCGACTTCACGTGGGCTACAGGGAAGATAGATTGCCCGATCGGACACCATTGAAACGGCCCTACCCTTTGATCTTGATGATCACGGATGGGCATCGTCGAAAGTGAACCCTTCGCCAAAACTGAACGCAGACGGCCAATCCCCCGCGAATGTCCTCTTCTTCAGCTGAAATGCCGCGTCAGTGTCGGCTGTGGCTTACGCCTCGGCCATCACGAGAGCTTCCCAGGAATGACCCGTTTCTTCAACGAGCTGTCCCTGAGGGGCACCGGTGAGAAGTCAGGCTGAAGAAAATAATCAACGTGTCAATCCGTCAACAAGATACGAGCATCAAGGGCCCTGCTGTGATTAATAGGGTTCAGATAGGCTCCGGCACCCCTTTCCTTCTCGAGGGTCCCGTTTGTGGACCAATCCACCAGCATTATCACCGTCCCAAAGACCAACTAAGAGCGAACGAGTAGCGATGGGAAGTGTCAAGCACATGCTTGGCCTCACTTCATACAGAACTCGGGTAGCCTGCCGAGGAAATGAACGTACAGTACTTGGAGCTATCTGTCAAGCACGTTCTTCACTGTTGGGTCAAACCCTGATGATGGCCACCCCTGCAGCTCTTCTACTCGCTGGCCCGTGGGAATGTTCTATCAATCATGGGTTCTTAGTGCCATGAGTAAGCCCCTCCCTGGTATACCGTCCTTCCCGGGGCACTCTAACAGCCAGATTTGACCCAAAAACCTCACTCCTATCAAAACTCCCTGGTTGCTCGATATACGTACTGATGGACCCCACTTGGCCTTGCCCGCCGTTGTCTATCTCTGTCTTCAGTCTCCCTTGTCGGGTTCGGCACGCCGCTACTTCTAGCGGGCTCCTGGTTCCTGCTGCACCCCTTACAGACTGGGAGCCTTGCCGGTACTGGGAAATTGACAGGAGGGTTTGAAATTCGACGAATTTCATCGACAAGCCGTTCAGTATGGCCTCTGAACCGGTCGAAACGACAATCCCCAGCCACAGCCCAGATTGAAAACAGACAACAACTTGCCTTGCTGGTGTTTTACATCTTTCATCTCTCGTGGAGACTTACAACCACTTGCCACGGCTGTGGCCATATCATTTTGTCGATTCCATTGTCATTGAGAGATCTTACAACGGTTGATACTTGACACTGTCAGACCCGGATGCGGGAATGCCACGCAGTGGGGAGCTTGACCTCTACCCGGGTTCTCACAACGTCTCGACGGGGTGTCATGTTGAAATGAGGGCCGTGAGGAGGGAGGACGGGGAGAGGGAGTGTGTCAACACTCCCTCTCCTTGACAAACTTGCCTCCTGAGGACATGTCTCTCACGGACTGTTTGAGATTGCCTTCCCATGGCTCCTTTCCTCGTTCGAGCATCTGTGGATATCAAGAACGTGTACGTGGCATACACTGACAGACTGACTGGGCGAGGCCATACAACAAATTTGGACAACCGAGGACGCTCGTTCCCTCAGTCTCGCTGGGTATGGGGAGTGCCTTTGTCGTCCGTGTGAGGGCCATGATTTTACTGAGATGTGTCGACCACCACACTACGCATACTACAAGCAAGCCGTACGGTCGGACCATGTCCTACAGCATACGGCACAGACTCTTAGCCTTCCAAAAACGGAGGGCTCAATTTGACCGCCGCATCCGCGGAGTCGAGAAGGGGGATGGGTGTGTGATGTGGCGAGGTGTATAAAGCATGGCTTCAGTTCCAAGGTTCAAGGGGATCTTCTTCTTCATCTCGCATCCTCCACAAACATCTCTTCATATCCCCTCGACCTGAAGACGGTTGCTATCGACCATGAAGTCTTTGGGATTGTCGGCCATCGCGGCCTCGGTGACCCTCCTCGGCGGAGTCGTCGCAAGTCCTCTGACCACGATCGAGCCGTGCCCGAGTGCAACAGGGCACAGCTGGGCTCCCATCACCGTCACCTCGCAGTATCAACCGGTTTCGACTTGTGCGCCCACGACCGCCTGTGTCAAGGGCAAATGCTCGACCAGCTATCCGCTCGTCACCTACCCTTACGTCTCGACCGTCGTCCCCTGCGCCTGGAACGGCACCACGACCCAAAAGGCCACCGTGACCGCCGTGGCCCAGCCGCTCAAGGTGTCCGAGCACCTCGAGACCCTGACCCACATCACGTCCGCTCCGGTCGCCAACAAGTTCGCCTGGATCGATTGGTTCAACAAGGACCCTACCACCTACGAACAAGTCACACTCTACGAGACCGTCACCCGGAGAGCCGTCGCCCCGTACAACGCCGTTGGACCCCTTCCCATCCCAGGCTGGGAAGGAAGTGGCCTGTGCAAGAAATGCGTGAACGCGGACGGCACCAAATCTCAGCTCCTCGAGGTCACCGAATGTCGCATCGGCACCGAACTCTCCGGCAAGCCGTACGCAAAGTGCGTCGAGTGGTTCGAAACCCTGATCGCCCAGCCCCCCAAGCCCGTGACCGCCAGCGGGCGGTGCTCGAGCTCGGGAAAGATCCCCCACGCCGGCGTCTACACCTGGACTTTCCCCCAGGTCGCCCCTCCCGTCACCGTCACCGCACCACCCAAGACCGTCACCGTCACCGTCGACGGCGGTCGCCCACGGGTCTCGGTCCACCCCGGCGGCGTCCAGGTCATCCCCGGCAGGTCGTGGGACGCCTTCGTCACCCGCTCCTACTCTGGCCCCGGCGTTTTCAACTTCAACGTCTACGTCACCAAGGTGTTCATCATCGAAATCCCCCCCTTCACTCGACCCGCCCCGAGTACCGTCACCGTGACTATCCCCTCCGTCCCGACCGGCCCTCACAAAGGCGACCCCGGGCACGGAAATGGTTGGTGGCCACTGCCGTCTGGACACGACAACTGGGGTCCCTCTGACGGCGGCGACAAAGCCTGGGAAGACTGGAACCCATCCACTTCGTCCTCCACCACCACATCGGTCAAGACTTCGACGACGAGCACCTCCAGAGGCGGCTGGGGCACCACTACCACGGCGACCAGCTCCGGAGCCAGCTCATCCAGTGCCAGCTCTTCCTCAGCGAGCTCGTCAAGTGCAAGCTCATCGTCGGCCTCCTCCTCGAGCGCGAGTTCCTCTTCCACAAGTTCCTCTTCGGCGAGCTCATCCAGCGCCAGCTCTTCTTCAGCGAGCTCGACAAGTGCAAGCTCATCTTCGGCCAGTTCGTCTTCCGCAAGTTCAAGTGCAAGCTCATCGTCGGCCAGCTCGTCTTCCGCAAGTTCAAGTGCAAGCTCATCGTCGGCCAGTTCGTCTTCCGCAAGTTCAAGTGCAAGCTCTTCGTCGGCCAGCTCTTCATCTGCAAGTTCGTCCGGTTCAAGCTCAAGCTCTTCGGCCAGTTCTTCTTCGACGAGCTCCTCCGGCGCAAGCTCAAGCTCCTCCTCGG